GGCCGCATTCCCCGCCTCTAAATATGGCGTCCCCCACGAGGGAATGGGCCGCGGTTTTCACCCCAGCAGGTCGGGGGCAGTGCTGAGCTAGGGCAGTTATCTGTCTAGACTAGGCTACAGAAAGCTGCAGTTAAAGTTCATTTCTGGTCACAGCTCCAGGAACCCGCGCGCCTCTGAGGGTCAGGACTCTCCGCTTCCTTCTAGTCCCTGCAAGTTCCTCCTCTGCCCCTGGTTGGTTTCCCCGCTCCACCTCCAGAGACCCTGAAGGCCCTGACACTCCCAGACTCAAACTATGAGCCTTCCGCAACTGCTGTTGCGCGTGCCCGGTTATCTCCAGGCCTCGGGACCCCCGCGTCTCCTGCGGTGGTCCCCGTCCCTCGGCCCCGTCTCGGTGGGCTCCTGGCGTGGCCAGTCCTCCAAGTCCCCGGCCTACTGGAATCAAGTGGTATCGGAGGCGGAGAAGATCGTGGGCTATCCCACGTCCTTCATGAGCCTCCGCTGCCTCCTGAGCGACGAGCTCAGCAACATCGCTATGCAGGTGCGGAAGCTGGTGGGGACTCAGCACCCTCTGCTTACCACGGCCAGGTGAGCTCCTCCTGCCCCCGCACACGCGCGCGCACTCGAGTCCCTTTTTCCAACCGACGCACCGTTCCCGCCTCCCTCAGGCTGGCCCCCTGCTTGTCTCTTTTTACCTCTTCCGTTCCTCAGCCCTCCTGGACATTGGGTGATGTCTCTTCTCTAGTCCGCTCACCTTAACATTCTAACTCTCTGCTCAGTTGAGCGGGTAAGTGGGTGGGTTTTTTGTTTTTGGTTGTTTTAACAAACCCGTGTATGCTTTTTGCGTTTTTGCTGGATTGAGGATGAAGATGCCTCAGTGGTTAGTGGAGGAACTGAGTGGGGACGTGAGTTTGAGTCACTTGCTAGAAGCGATCTTTAAAAAGTGGGATGGATTCATTTTCAATTCTGTACTATTTAAGAGGTCACCTCTAGAAAGAATGGGGAGGGGAGATAGGCTGAAGGTAGATAGTTCTTTTCAAGGAGTGCCTCAGGCTTGAAGTAGGAATTTATCCAGTCAGTAGTCATTATCCTCTTGGGATTTTTATCACTTATGCTGGACTACTTTGAAGCCTCCCATTAGGATTTTAAGGACCACAACTCTTGCTTCCACTTAAAATAAAAACACACCACCACACCTGTTTATTTGTAAATAACTTCAAACTACTGAAAAGTTGCAAGAATAAAAATAATACAGTGAACACACCTGTATATCCTTTCATCAGATTCACCTATAATGTATATACAAATACTATTCACATGTATAGGTAAAACATATATACACACATACACATATATATTTTTCCTGAATCATTTGAGGGTAGATTGTATATATCATGGTCATTTACTCCTAAATACTTTATTGTGCATTTCCTAAGCATAGAAATATTATCGACATAATTATGTTACAGTAATCAACTTAGGAATATTTAATGTTGGTACAGTACTTTTATTTAATCTATCATAGATATTCCAATTTTGTTAATCTACCTAATAATTCCCTTTATAAAAGCATTCTTTCCTCTTCTAGTACAGGATCCAGTCTAAGATCAGCTATTGCAGTTGTCATGTCTCTTTAGTCTCCTTCAATCTTGAGGAACATTTCCACAGCTCTTCTTTGCTTTTATGACTAGAGCAGTTCTCTAATGGGACAGTTTTGCCCCCTAGGGAACATTTGGCAGTGTATGGAGATCTTGTCACAACCTGGGTATGTTACTGGCATTTAGTGGATAAAGGCCAGGGGATGCTGTTAAACACCCTACAATGCCCAGGGCAGTCCCTAACAATGAAAAATTATGTGCCCCAATGTCAGTAGTGCCAAAGTGTTGAAACCCTGGGTGAAAATTATCTCTTTTTATGTTTTTTTTAATTAAATTTTTACTTTGAGATAATTGTAGATCAATTGCGGTTGGAAGAAATAATACAGAGAGATCCAGTGTACCAGTTAGCTAGTTTTTCCAGTGGTAACATCTTGCACAACTAGAGTACAATATCACAAGCAAAATATTGACATTGATACAGTCAAGATGCAGAACATTTTCATCTCTACGAGGATTCCTCACATTGTTCTTTTATAGCCACCCCCACTTCCTTTGCCCATCCTCTTGCTTTAATTTTCTGAGACACTTGTAATTTCTTTGTTGCTACAAAAGTTACCAAATAGCAATAGTAGAGTGATTTTATTTCTTGGCATCATTCCCAGTTATCAAGAATGTAATCTTATGAGTGGGCTAAACTTGTCCTATAGCTGGAATGTTAGTTCTCAAAAAAATTCTATATAATAAACACTCAACACACACACACATATTAAAGCTTAATAAGGGAACTAATGACTTTATCATCCAATTTAAGAACTATAACTTTACCAGTCCTCTTGAAGCTGAATTACTCCCGGGCCCATCTTCCTGACCCCAAGTATACTGAATTTTGTGTTTATTTTTCCTTCTTAAAATTGCATGAGTGTTTCCCTAAATAATAACAGGTTTAATTTTTCATCTTTTTGAAATTTATTAATATGGTAGTTTATTGCATATAGTCTGTTATGACTTGCTCTTTTAATTCATCATCGTTTCTAAGATTCATCTATGTTGTGTTTAACTGGACTTCATTCATTTTTCACTGGTGTATAAAATCCTATTGGTGAATACGCCAGTCTTTTTTCAGTCAGCTTTTAGGTTGTTTGCATTTTTTGGTCTTATGAAAAATACTGCTGTGAGTATTCTTGCATGTGTATCCTGGTGTACTTGTCTTGAGAGAATAGGTATAGGAATATATGCACATGTTCAGCTTTAGTAGGTAATACCAAATTGTTTTCTAGAGTGGTTGTACCAGTTTACACTCTCACGAGCAGTGTCTAAACTCAGGTTACTCCATGTTCTCACAACACCAGAATAATAAGGTATCTTTTTTTTTTTTTCTTTTAAAAAAATATATCTTTATTGATTTCAGAGAGAGCAAAGGAGAGGGAGAGAGAGAGAAACATCAATGATGAGAGAGTGATTGATCGGCTGCCTCCTGCATGCCCCTGACTGGGAATTGAGCCCGCAACCCGGACATGTGCCCTGACCCGGAATCGAACCCCAATCACCTGGATCCTAGGTTGATGCTCAACCGCTGAGCCACGCCTAGCTGGGCAGAGGTGTCTTAATTTTTGCTAATCAAGTAGTGTGTGGATGTGTGTGTGATAGGAATGGTAGTGTTAGCACTGGGAGTTGTAATAGCATATTACATTGTGCATATTGCAGTCTCTGTAATAAAGCACTGAAGTGAAAAGGGCAGAACTAAAAAGAGCCTTATTAATATGTATATTCTAAGAGTTCCAATTCATCTTGGTAATTGCCAAACTATCAGATGGGGTCTTGGAGAAGATTTCTTCTGAGGCCACCAGAAACACAAGGCTGATAGCTTTGAAACTTTCCTGATTGTAGCCTACCCTGCATACCTAGTTCCATACTACAGTGAAAGAATTGGAGAGGAACAAAATAAGTTCCAGCAAAGCTGTTGCAGTAACATCTATGAATTGCTTTATTTTGTAAGGAAAGAAAGCTAATCTACATATAGTTTTATTACATGCAGATAGTGTGTGTTGCAAGTTATTTCAAGTTCACTCACAGGTACCTGATGAGCAAAAACTTTTAGGGAGGTATGTATACAGGGTGGGGCAAAAATAGGTTGTTTGTATGGAAAATAATACAATAATTAATAAATAATAATACAAGAATAAACTGTTCTTTGTATTCACAACTGTAAACGTACCTTTGCCCCATCCTGTATATCTATATACACTATGTACAGATAGGCATTTGATCCATAGTGTAGGCAGATTGTGATTATTGTAAATTGTAGCTAAAAACAGCATTGGGCAGCTATGTTATTTCACATACTACGCATCTTACTTTGTTGAGATCTTGACAGCAAAGCATTGCTAATTAAGGAGGAAGATGCTCTCAGCATATTAGCAAAAGGACACAGATTCCTTGTTGTTGATATATTTAGGACCATAGGAAACCAGGTTTGGTAATTTTTTTACAGTCCCATTTTATATTTTGAGTTTCTAGTATTTACATAAGTCAGTGTTCTAACCCATCTGATCATTTTACTTTTTTGGATAAATATACATAGTATTTAGGGATGAGTCATGCCTAGTAGCCCTAAAATTTAGATGAATGGTGACATTTTTGGCAAACAGCAGGAGACAAAAAGGAAATCACCATAAGTCATTATTTACTACCTTCTCTTTCTTTACCTAAACCATCTTATCAAGAACAGGGAAAAGAGCCTAGAACTGTACTCTTTAACAGTTTAATTCAGAATTGAGATTAAATTTAAAATCAAGATTTGGTAAAATAATGATCTTGTTACTAGGAACAATGTAGCAATTAGGTAATTTTTTATCCTTATTCTTCTAGGTTTTTTAGGATCTCTCTGTTGTAAGCCCCAATTAGATAAATAATCCTCAATTAATTAAGTCAATGTTTATTGAAGCTTATGGAGGAATATAAAGAAATACAAAACATGGCTTCCCTTAATGAGTAGATATTTTGTTGGACACCAGTATATAGGGTTGGGCAAAAGTAGGTGTACAGTTGTCCATATGGAAAATAATGCAATAATTAATAAGTAATTATACAAGAATAAACTGTTTCAAGTACTCACAACTGTACACCTACTTTTGCCCCACCCCGTATTTATAAATATCTGACAGAAGTAAGTAAATGATTTGTGGCTAATGAGTAGTAGAGACATATTAGCTATTACATTTAAAGAGACTACAGTGGCCTGGAATAGTACATAACCTTCATAAAGAAATTGGGATGTCATTAGAGATGATGGGTAGAATTTACATAGGTAATATTTTAAGGTGATGATAGTATATTACATATTTTTTCCTTCATTATTTTTTCTTGATTATTTTTTCTCCTTTCTTCCTCAGGCTGTCATACCTCTACAAGGTATAGGGAGGACCTTAAAAGCAAGGATAAGCAGTGAATAAAGTAAAATGAGCAGAATGAATGGAGCTAGAATAGCTAAAATCATGTTAAGAAGAAGAAGAAGAAAGGGGGAGGAATCATTTTACCTAATACTGTATTGTATAGAGCTTCCTTGATCGAGACAGTGTGGTATTAGCAGAGGAACAGAAAAGACAGATTGATGGGACAGAATAGAAAACCCAGAAATTGATCAACACAAACATACCCAGTTGATTTTTGACAAAGGTGCAAAAGCAGTTCAGTGGAGGAAGAATAGTCTTTTCAACAAATTCATACAATGAAATGCTACTCAACAATGAAAAGAAATGAACTATTCACACAACAACTTGGATGAATCTCAAAAGAATTGTCCTGATTGAAAAAAGTCAGTTTCATTCCTTAAAAAATTAAAAATAGAATTACCATATGACCCAACAGTTCCACTTCTGGATATACATCCAAAAGAGTTGAAAGCATGTCTCAAAGAGATATTAGTTCACCCATATTCTTAGCAGCCTTATTCATAATAGCCAAGAGGTGGAAGCGACCCAGATGTCCATC